ATGTATATATATATATGTATATATATATATATGTATATATATATATGTATCTATATATGTATATATATATGTATATATATATGTATATATATATGTATATATATATATGTATATATATATATGTATATATGTGTATATATGTGTATATATATGTGTATATATATGTGTATATATGTGTATATATGTGTATATATGTATATATATGTATGTATATGTATATATGTGTATATGTATATATGTATATATGTATATATGTATATATGTGCACATCACATTGTGACATGATGATTGATGGGATGAATTATGTAGTGCTTTGGCAGCTAGACAGTTACAGGCCATTTCACAAACCTGTTGAGCATCAGCCAACTCAGCCAAGACCAAGTGGCAGAGATGATGAAGCGACAGTACATTGTCTGCCCTTTAAAGTCATTGGAACATGTTACTCATCATCAAGACAAAAAGCTCTTGAAAGAGCGTATGATTTCCTCCATGTTTACAACAGACCAGTTTTTGCTAAAATAAGTGGCAGAGCCAGATAACTATGTAGACAAAAATGCCATTGCTGTGTACGCAATGACAGAAGACCAATATGAAAAAGTTGGTTACATCCCAAGAGAACTGACTACGTACTTGCATGGCCCATTAAAAGAGTAAGCACTGGATGTTTCAGTGAAGCATGTGCGGTTATGTGTAAAATATTTATTAGCAGGATATTACATTCCATTCTAGCTTGTTATCCAAGCTAGCTTTAGAGTAAGATGTGGATTAGTATTTTATTTTACTGTTGGCGATGACTGAAACACTGGTGACAATGGTTCATCTACCATGGTTAAATGATGTGGGGTGCTGCTTGCAGTGTTGAATATACCACCACGGCCAAAATTATTCCCACCAACATAATCTATCTGCAAGGCTTCTTCTGCTTCGGACAATGAGTTAAACTCCTTTGACAAATGCTTAGTCACTCTAGTTCTGCATGAAGCTCCTGACAAAAATATGATGTGATGGTAAGAAAATTCTTTAATAAGTATAAAACACAAAGTCCTGCCTTTCAAAACCCTGGATTACATACATATTTTGAAGAATTGTGGGATACGGGATAGACACTAAATACCACACTTTATTTTTTGCAGAGTTGAAAATGGATAGCAAATCTGAATTCTATAATCCACAAACCTGTTCTATTTGACTGGCAAACATTGTTCACAGCTCGCGCACCAGTTGTTCCAGGCGTCCTTCCAAAATAAACAGATATACTGCACCAATGCTGATGTCTCTTTAAGAGTCCAATTTTCTGTTTTGCAAGCGAAAGATACTTTAGTTTCATCCTCTGCACATTGCGTTTCATTATTAAACAAAGATCTTCTCGATTTTCCTTCGACCGGTCGTTTGCTGGTTGGTTTCCCTGGTGTATTGCCTTCGACAACACAAGGTCTTTTGGCAGCCATATTATTGAATCAACCTGTCAAAATAACAGAATTGTCATGTTTTATATCGATTAAAACGGGAAACACAACAGGGAGCATTGGGGAGCGGCAGAGGAGGTTGGACAGCAGGCCGCAAAGCATCATGGGTATTGAGCGCCTAATTCGACACGTGGCTTCATTGACTGTTGACTGTCGAGGAGTGAACAGCTCTCTGACTAAACAAATATGGAAGCTTTCGAACGACAAGAGTGTCAGATACTCTGTGAAAACAGCATATTGCTGTATTGTTGCGATCCTCATTATGACTTGTGTTTTACTATAGCAAGTTTACCTTTTTTTAAATTGCATGGGACGTGTTGTCATTTTAGTTTAGTTTATAAATAATCCGTCTGAGCGAAGGAATTGTGTTTATATAAATATTCCCAATAGCAAGGCTCTTCTTTCTAATTAAAGTTGGATGGCGTTATTAAATCTCCGTGTATCATCAACATAAAAACAAGCGCAGTATTTAATAGGGTTGGTATACTACAATGCATTACAGTTATCTTGTTATTTAGTCAAATTTCAGCTTTGTTGTTTTTATTCTTGCACTGTACTGTACTGTAATTTCATAAATACACTGTACAAAATTATAGCATAATATTTGTGTTTATTGCCTATAGTTTGACCCTATTGTGTGTGTCTATGTACTGTGTCACTGTGATACATAATTATGTACATGTTTTGAGTTAAACAAATTGTTTAATAAATTTTTGCTGAAGTATGATGCCTGTTTGTATCTAGTTGTGGATAGATTTTTACATATATGTGCATACAGTAGTTATATATTTTTCAATTTTCATCTGTAAATAATATTGCCATATACTTGTGTGTTGTTTTAATATTACTGTGAATAGTGACATACTTTTGCATTAGATTGCTAATTTTAGAGATCACAGTGTATGTATAAAATAATAAAATTTTTCTTGTTATGATTTTGTAGAAAGAGATCTATTTGTGTGGTTGGCTGGTCTTGAACCTGGTCAGATAATGAAGGTGATGGGGTAGAAAGTTGTAATGAAGGTGATAGGGCAGAAAGTGGTGACCAGTTAAGTGATGAGGATGAAAGTGACGAGGACAAAATCACCCATGCTGTACCATTCAAGATTTCAAGTGCATCGGTGCTGCTCATGAGAAAAACTACCAACATCATTTTGGAACAGGCATACCTTGCTCTTCATCAGGGCCGCCCAGAGGTTGGCGGTGGCCCGGGGCAAATTTTTTTTAGGGACCCCTATCTAAAAAAATTTTCCTGGAAAAATTTTTTTCCGGATAACAACTTCACCCCCCCCCACCCCACCCCCCCCCTGTCGCCAAAAAATTTTCGGTCAGTGTACCATTTTAGGGGTAAAAATTTTTTTCCGGAGTACAAAATTTTGCCGGACGAGTATGTTGCAAACGCTTTAGAGGGACTTTATCTCATTTTTTTATGCCAAAATTCGGTACTGAGCCCAAGAAAACAGATATCTTGTCCTTTGCGCGGAAATATTTAACACACAAAAAAGGCTGGGGCCCTACAAAAAATTTTCAGGGCCCCCCAGCAACTCGGGGCCCAGGGCAATTTGCCCCCCTTTACCCCCCCCCCCCTCTGGGCGGCCCTGCTCTTCATTGGCCAGAGCAATTGAATCCAACAAACTCAAGTGCAATTGATCTAGACCATGGAACCGGATGGACACATGTTGGTTATATTGCTTCTGAACTATGCGAGCATTTACACCCATTAATTGCAGCAGGAGATATCTTAGAGGTCTATGTTCAGCATATCAAGTATAGGGTTGAGTTTTTTAAAATAGGATTTTATCCAGACTCGAGTGGTAAGGAAGAGCATGAGTGTACGTTGACAGACGTTTGTGATATAATAGCAACTGACTAGGTTTAGCAAGTTATAGAAAT